TGCACGACTGGCGACTTTGTGCACGAGTCGGATGTCCATCAAGATCAAGGGACGCTCTCGGCGCCGCTTCACTTTGTGCGCTGGACTCACAAATCGATGCCTTCCTCCTTTCCCCTCTGCTGCATCATCTGCTCCATCTGGGCAAACCTAGCTCCGAACTTGTTAAAGTATCTCTCCCTCTTGTCCAGCGCGTGATCCGAAGGCAAAGTTGGGTCCAATTGATAAGGCAAGAAATGGATGGATGGCTCAAAGACTGCCTCTGGACCGCTAGTGTAAGGCGAAGTAGCCAGAGCTTTCTGGAGCTTGCGTAGGCCAATGAAGCAAAATGGACAGACTGTATGCGCGCAGTGTAGAGGCAGTCAAGACCTTGATCAGCTCAAAAGGCCGGCCAAGAGTGGTGTACGGGCACGTCAAGCAGCATCTCACTCACTGTTGTCTGATGTGACCGCGATGCGCAACGGTATGAGAGTAGCAACCGGCATGACGTGGGCGGGTGCGCCTATGGGCAGTGTGCTGCGCTGCTGACGAGAACAATGGGGTGCTTTCTCCTATGAAGTCTGGTACAAGCCCCGCTCCGAGTGGCGTGGATTTGCAAGCTTGACTGGATGTTGTGGCCCACTTTCAGATGGACGGCAACAGGTGGCGGCAGGAAAAAGCGTGCGTAGCTACGTTGCCCGTGGTAGATCGGTCCCACTAGTCGCCAAGTGTCGAGTTCGAGCAAAGAGGAAATGTTGACCAATATCGCTCGCTTGTAGGTGGATGGCGATCAAAGGGAGATGTGGCGAGCTTGTATCTTGGAGGCAAAATCGCAGACCAGCACACCGTCGACGTTTGGGATTGCGGTATATATGCGTGACGAGGAAACTCCGAAGGCAAGCTTGTTTGTCGGCCGTTGCGTTCACAGCACCGGATTGGTCAGCAGGTCTGGGATGGCGCAGGATGTGAGTGGGAAGGTAGTGGGCAGGTGGATGGATCGCCTTCGGTGAGTCAATATGGAGTGAATACGTTGTTGCCGAACCTCGGATGAAATGTCCGATGTTTGAGGTGCAAAGAGCATCCGGCGTAGCCTGCTGTCGATTGATCAGTGCGGGCAAGCGTTCAACCTTTAGGAGCCAGCATCCATGGGCAGCTCGCGAGGCTGCGAAAGTCACACCGAGGTGTATCTCGCACTTAAGCTCGACGCACGGCCGGTGCAAGGACGGCGGCATACGCAGCTTCGCGCGCGATCGATCGTCCGCGCGTACGTGCTGTGTGTGCATTTAACCTGCGTTTGTGTGTGCCAAGTCGTCGTGCCGTCGTAGCCGAACTTGCCTGGCCTGCTCACGCCCATCCATCACATCACTTGCTCTCGCTCGGAGCAAAGAGGTTACTGTAGCAGCAACTCACGCCTCCGAACACAGCCAAGGTACCGCCTGGGACCGAAATTCAACACTGCGCGGCACGGCAGCGCTCATGTAGCCGGTGCGGGTTCAAAACATGAACACAGGCAGCAGCATGTACACTGTACCGTACGGCCCTGACGCAGTGCCGTTCCATCGTCATCGCGGACATAATTCTGCTGCACCATCATCATCTGCAGCACCTAAGCCGCGGAAAAGCTCAATTGATGGCTACTGCTGCAGTACGGAGTTATGTGCTTACTTCCGGCCGGGCTTCTGATGCATGCATGCACGCGAGCGCGATGAGGAGCATTCAATTGCCGTCCCAGCAGCCTTACTCACGCGCGACTCACACTGGTGTGCCTGCCGTGTACCGGTACTGCCGGTACTTGCTATACTCAAACTACAACTTACTGTACCAAGCTCGCACGACATCATTCACAAGTCATGCTCGGCCTTTCCACCATTGGCACCATTGGCCTGGCCATCTCTGCATATATGTCTTGTAGGCACCGTGCCGCCGACCAACCGATCTCCACAGCCTCAGACAAGTGCAACCCTGCATGCCGAGTGCGATTTCGAATGCGCTTGCAATCAGCAGCTCTTCAAGCACCGACATCCGCACGGCACGGCCACCACACGACGCACCGGAGTGGCATTTCCGTGCCGACGCTTCTTACATTACGTTCCCCCCGACAGTCAGCGTTGGGCGTCAGCCTCACGTCGCCTGCTTGAGCGTCCATGATATCCCATATATCCCTTCAGAAGCCGTCTGTCTGTGCCCATCTTTGGGGGAGGTGCTGGCTCGATCCGCGTCATCCATGAGTTCCACGACTGCCTGTCCACTTCCTCTTGATATAGCTTTGTGCCTGGATTCGTGGATGAATGCTGTCGCTGCGCCGTGGATATACGTCGTCAAGCTTCGTGACTCATGCATGCAGGGCCTTGCTGGAGCAAGTGGCCCCAGCAACGAATGCTCTTTCCTAAACGCCGATCGATCGAGCGATGAGCTGTCGCGAATTCACCAACCAAGCCGCGGAATCGTGAATGCTTGCCCGGCCTGTCAAGCATCTTCACTTGCACCCAAATTCGTCCGTCTCCAATCCCATGCCGAGGCTTCATGTCTTGGCTTGGAGAATTTCACCGTGACGCTCGATGGCAGGGATCAGACTTACACCCTCCGATCTGCCTCGAAATGTCAAGCCTGGCCGTCACGAGTCGATGAAGCTTTGATCCCGTAGACACGAAAAGCCATGCGAGCCACAGTGATCCACATCAGTGATTTCACCCCACGACGCTGCCTCGAGGCTTGTTTTCCCGAATGATACGGTGAGCGTTGGTGGATGGACGGATGAGAGCGGCGCTGCTGTGAGAAGCAGCTCACCACTCAGTCCGAACCGCGTCGACGTGACGCTCTCTTTCATCACCAGGAGGCCGAGGGACCTCTCAAGGCTCGTCTGAGGCGGTCTCAAAATGCCATCAGACATATTGAAAGGGATAGCCGAGCTATACCTGCACCAGGAGGGTCTCCTCCACGCTTTGGATGACCTCGAAACGGTCCGCAATGACGCCTCAGACGCGAACACACAGTCAGGCATGCTGATCGTCGCCCTGCCAAGTCAAGGGGTGGTGAGTGATGTCGAATTGCAGAGGGAGTCGTCAGTGAACGACGAGCCTGTAAGAGGTAGTGCGCATGTAGCTGTATTGCGGAAGGGGTTTGGAGAAAGGTCAAGCGTGTAATGCTGAAAGACATGCTGAGAATGCAAGCGTGAACAGTTGGGGGCAAAACCCGTCTGCCACGCCAAATTGGAGTGAAACAGGCTTGAGAGCTAGGAGCGCGTGCATGGGCGGTGTTGAGTTTGCGCATCGTCACCATGGTAAGCAGGGACAAGGGTGGACCAACGTCCCTTCTTAGGCGAAGACGAGGGCACCGCCAACGAGAGCAGCACCAGCGCTGAGTGCAAGAGCGCCAACGTTGGAGCGGCTGGCACCGTTGCCGCTGGTGCCGCTGGGGGTACCAGTAGGAGAACTGGTGTTGTTAATGAGAGGAACAAACAATGTCAGCAGCCTCGTGCGAGGGTTGAGGGTAATTACCACACTAGACGTACGCTGCACCAGAACCGCTGCGAGTGGACGAGGTGGAGCCGGAGCCGGAGCCGGAGCTAGAGCCAGTGGCGGCGGCGCCAGAGAAGTCAGCACCGGCATTGCAAGTGTTTTGACCGACGACCTGGATTTGAGAGCTGAAATTTTGGACACCCGTAGAGTCGTTGATGATGAAGGTGAGGGTGGTGCCGGGCTGAACGTTGACAGTCCTGAAAGACACAAGGTATTGCAACAGCGGGCGTAAGCATGCCACGCTACCGCGAAGAAGACGAGACAGATGGTGGAGGACTCACCAAGGGTAGCTGCCGGAAGCGCCGGATTGCTGAGGGAAAGACGTACGCTGAGCGCTGCTCGTGACGGAAGTGTCGGTGCCGATGACGGCGCTGAGGAAAACGTTTCCCGAAGCGCCGGACCTGTGAACGGCGGAAGGACGAGGCGAAAGACAAGTCAGCGTGATTGTCCCATGCGTTTCGCTCCGCATATGCTTGCCGGTGGCGGCCCTTCGTCCAATGACGACCCATCGTGCGCGCGGAGCACCTTTGCCCATCCGCAATCAGAACTCATAGCGATGCTCACCAAGAGATGGCAGCGGGTTGGCAGACGGTGATGGTCGAAGGGACCTCAACGCGGGGTTGGGCAGCCACCATGGCGGCGAAGAGGACGACGGGTGCAAGAGTGCGGAACTGCATCGTTTCAAAGAGGCGTGGCTGTTGCTGTTGGGGTCAGAGAATGACTGTGCGCTCAAAGGCGAGGGTTTGTTTGCGTGAGAATGTAGAATCAGGAATTGGTGGTGGTGGTGGTGGTGGTGGAGTTCAGCGTGACCCCGGAATCTTGTGGATCAATTTTGATGCCAAGGCCGGTTCAGGGTGTACTTACTATTGAGATCACAAATGGCCGACTTGTTTGCCAGCCTGGCTGCCAGGGCGGCGCGCTCGTTGGAGCGAGGGGCAGGATCCAGGAGAATTCTCGTGTCATCCTGCTCTGACGCCCCATGTCAGCTCGCCAAGTCAACACTGCATGGCAGGATTGCAACACACACTCACACTGTGACTCCAAACAGTTTGGTGCACCATGCGCGCTGCTGCTGGTGTTGCGTCGCGCTAGCACCTTGCACGCCAGGGCCAGAGGCAAATTTTAGCAGACGGGGCTTGCGCGCCGGGGCACACGCGAGATGAGCAAGACGCATATGCTGCTGGGTACATGCCCTCTCAGCAGTCATGCATCCAGTCAGCCAAGCTGCTGCACATCAGCCCCTTTCGCACCGCACCGTCCAGCAGGCCAAAGGAACACGCAGCACGGCACGGCGAGCATCCAGCCATGCAGCGCACAGCATGCATCAGCTGTGAATGCGCACTCATCTGCGACGGGCAAAGCAGCTGCAGCTGGCCTGTGAGCGCTCGCGCGGTGCTGTGCTGAACGGCACACATGCAGCGATTCGTTCGTGATTTGCCATCGTAAACGACCAGGAATCGGGAAACGCGGTCACGCTGCAAGGATGAAATTTCTCGTCACTCACTCGCGTCCCTCAAAACCGTGGGGCTGTGGTCCCCTGATGCGTGGTGTGCGACGCTCGCCTTGGCAACTGCCCTCTTCAATTGCCGCTGTGTACAGCTGCGTGTAAAAATGGAAACAGCGGTGAGCACAAGCGTTGTAACGTTTATAGCAGGTGAGGCACGGTTGAGTACTGTAGTAATTTGACGAGGCTCTGCCTTCAGGTCACGCGCCAAAATGATCCACGCGGCACAGCCCGTCCCGAGGCAGGCAGACAGGCAGACACCGCCCTTCTCAACCTAATCGTCTGCAGTCGTGAGTCGTGAGTGTAAGCGGAGCAGAAGAACCCTGCGCTGTTTCTGGGCACACTCATCAGACTCCAGTCAGAATTCTGATTTGGTTGCGCCCCACCCACCATGGCTTTCCGGTGTGCAGTCACGGCCTGTGCGCTTCTCATCAGCAGCAATGCAGAATTTCGCCGCACTGCTCTCGTGCCTTTCTCATCGCGACGGGCCATCATCCAACACGTGACTTCTCGCTGCTTTCGGACTTGTCGGCCGCACGTTGCCAGAGTCGGATTTTTAATGAAGCTTTCATGCGCGAGCCCATTGGGCTGCACACTCGCTGCTGATCTGGAGATGAGGCGAACTCGATCTCGCGATGACTCGCCATCTCTCGCTTCGTGTCCGCTGCCCCCTCATTCTCCTCTCATCACGGTGCATTCCAATCTTGCGCACGCCTGAGCACTGACGGATTATCCAAGAACATTCATCAAAGGCTCAGGCATGTCGGCCACCGGTCGATCAACTGGGGACGCCAAAGGAGGAGACGATCCGCCATCCCACGGAGCTTATCTCTACGAGCTACAGGCCGAGGGGGATGTCGCTGCGACACAGGACAACCAGGTGTATCGGCAGCAGCAGCAATACAGTTCAGAGGACATAGCTGCAATGGCTGCGGCTGCAAACGCTACAGGCAGCAGAGAGGGCGAGGCCTTGCCGAGCTCTTCGGCTGACGTGAATGCAGCCCAAGCTTCTGGTGCTGGACTGCACTCTGACAGCGGATCCGTGATGGGCGAAGATCAGCATGGCATCCACGATGAGGCTCACCACGAGAATCCGGGTCCTAGCCGCAGTAGTGCTGGCAAGTCGAATGCAGGCTCCAAGCGCCAGCGCGTGCATTTCAGTTGTACCGAATGCCATAGGCGCAAGCAAAAATGCAATCGAGAGGTGAGCTTGGCAAGCCAGTCATGACCAAAAGCCGATTTCTCACCGCCCCATGTTTTTTCTACTGTAGACGCCCTGTAATCACTGCATCGCCCGCAAAGTACCCGAGCGATGCAGGACCTTCCAACCTGGAGAGGAGGCGGATGACGTTGCTTCGCGGCTGACGAGGCTTGAGCATCACGTCGAGGACGGCTTCAATAGGCTCGCGCAACTTCTCGAGGGAGCGCAACATCACGGTGGCTACGGAGTAGCTCAGCAACCTCGCGATCCTTCTTCGCAAGGCTACGGAAATGCGCAAGGACACCAAAGCCGCTTGCCCGCTCCACTTCGCATACCAGCCGCGAGAGGCGCAGCGGCTGGCGCGACCAATGTAGGACCTTCCTCGGCAATCGAGGAGGATGACGATGCAAACGAGGGAGGTAGACTCTCTCCAAAGGGCGGCACTTTCCACGCAAGTGGAGCGTACAATTTGCGCTTCGATGCCTTGCTGGACAAGCTTCAAGGTCAGCCCGTTGGAGTCATCAGGGACCCTTTTCGCACCATGGACACGCATACAGTCGACGAGGCGATGTCGGAAATGGGAGCAATGTTGTCGGTCTCTTACAGCTTGGTCGCTGCCTTGCCGCCCCGTCACCTAGCGGAAAGCCTTCTCGACCATTGGTTCGAAGATATCAACTGGCTCCGGCAACCACTTAGCCAGACGACGCTCCGTAAAGAGTTCGATGAGCTTTGGGCCTCGGGCCCAGTGCTGACCGCCAGTAACATTACCACGTACGCTGTCTTGGTTTGCATTCTGGCGATTGCGACTCTCAGCTTTCCCAGAGCTGAGGCTTATCCTGAGGACCCGCGTCTCAAGCGTCTTACTGCCAGGCGGTTGCAATTTGCCGGGCGACGGGCAGTGAGTGAAGCTGTGTACACGACTCAAGCGCCAAGCTTCAGACTGACCGGAGCCTCGCGCCCTATTCGCAGCTATTGTGCGCATCTATGCTCCCAAACAGCCACGATCTTAATCACGTGGTGAGTTCGAATGCGTTGTTTCACACCCGAGTCGATGTTGAAAATTGCTATATACCTACTCAGATTGCGTGGAACTTGTCTGCACGCTTTTGTCTGATTGACAGACGTGTGGCCGAAGGCTGGAGCGCGGCGCTCAATGCCGTGGCCGCAGCATGGGCCATCGGTCTGCATCGGGATGGCTCCACCCTCGGTCTCTCACCAGAAGAATCGGAAGCGCGACGACTGGCCTGGGGCGCCACTGCCTGGCTTGAGAGAGCGCTGGCTGCAAATCTTGGGCGGCCAACTATGATTGACGACGCAGTATGCGACGCCAAAGCTCCTCTCATCGAAGGCTCTGCGGCTGACGATGTGTATCCACGGGCAATGGCACCCTCGATCGTCGGCTTACCTCCAGCTCGAGCTGGTCATCGTCCTCCGCACATTCTCGATTATGCTATCCATCGTCAGAGACTGGGCCAAATCGTTGGGAAAGTGATCAACGTTTATCAATGCATCCCGACGAAGCATTACAGCGATGTGCTTGCCATCGAAGGGGAGCTGGAAGATTTCACCTCCAATCTCCCGCCATACTTCCAAAGCCCCATCGACAACGCAGGCAACATTGTTGCTGATCAAGATCTCGATTCCAGCTGCCCGCTGTGGCTCTTCACCCATCGCTACCTGTTACACTCAGACATCGCATTCCTGCGTGGTGCGCTCCATAGGCCATATCTGCTGCGCTCTGCGGGCGGTAAAGCAGGCGCACGATTCATGCCCAGCCGACGAGCCGCAATCCAGACTGCTTTGCGGGATGTCATGATGCGACGAGACTTTGTGCACATTCTCACCAACCACTATGCGGGCAAGATTCCAGATGGATTCAAACTGCACCTGGGTGCGTCTCATCGAGCTTTCTCTAGCTGCTTGACACTGGGCGTCGCCAGTCTCATGGAGCCGCATGGCGACGAGACGTTGATGTGGCGCTCTTGCCTGGAGCAGTACTGCGAGAGGGTCCGTGCGAAGGCTTCCAGAGAGGCGCCCGACGAGTTGAAGGACAGGGAGCTAGCGATTCTCGAGCTGTTCATCTCGCGGCTGGATGCGCTTCGTGCTGGCGAGCCCAGCACTGGGTCGAAGCGCGAGCGAAGTGAGGACGGAGCGGAACGCAGTCGCTCACGCAAAGCGAGACGGGGCACAGGTGGAGCTATGGACGAGGAAGGCGACGCGCACGCTACTGCTGGCTTGCTGCTTGGTCTTGGACGAAGTGACAGCCAACCGCAAAGGTCTCACACAGGGCTCAGCACCAGCAGCCCGTCCTCCGCCTCCGGCGCCAAATCTGGACCCAGCCCATCAACGCCGGGAACATCGACGCGCGCCGAAGAGGCTGAGACTGCTCAAGCCCTGCTCGAGAATTGGTGGCGAGCCGAGTTTGAGCAGGGAGGCAGCGTGGTGCACGATGAGTTCAACAGTAATGGCTTGGCAGGCTTTGATCGCTTGATCTCAACAGCGATGCCTTATGGCGCGGCCAGTATTACGGGAGGTAACAACTTCTTGAACAGGCCTGCCGCTGCGCCAAGCGCCTGGCAAGCCCAACCTCAGTACGGAAATAATTTTTTTGCAACTTCGCCGACTCCGCTCGCTCAAGCGGAGCTTGGCGCCCAGTCTCAACCACCTCAGCAGCAGCAACAGCAACAGCAGCGCCAGACGTACAACTCGCTGAATGGCAATACCAACAGCGCGCCGAACAATGCGAGCGGAGTGCCCATCGCGCCGATACCCCCTCAAGCTTGGAATTCCGCCCCTGCCCCCGATAACAATGCCGCCCCTGCCTTTGATCCCGCCTTTTGGCAGAGCTTCATGGGACTGGTCAAGCCCGGCTGAACTGTGGCTCTAGCTCATGCATCCTCAAGTCCGACTTCGAGGTAATCAGAAGCGAGTTCTCTCGCGGCAGTTCTTGGTCCCCTTTCCTCTTCTCTCTCCAAATTTTCGCGCATCTGCGAGTTAAAGGGCAAAGCTTGACAAAATCGACAAACGCTGCAGGCTCACATCTCCATTCACACTTTTCTCCTTTTAGCTCACCCGAGGCTCGAATTGACCCCGCCAGACCCCCTTGGCCGCTTCCTTGTGTTGTATGTAGTAAGACGGCGCACGCCCAGTTCGAGTGTCATTGGTCCATTGAAAAATTTGAAAAATTCGCAAAAGCTCGGAGCGACAATAGAGACTCGAACAGGCGCAGCACTAGACATGCAGGGTTAGTTTGCGCTTGGCGCGGCAACCTTCCCAAAATCTTGCTTTGCGATGATCCTTTTTTTTTTTT